ATGTATTTTATATTTGAAGCTAATTTACAGTAATATAAAAAATTGAACACAGGGATGTTTAGCCAACTCTTTAACCAGAGATTCGCTCTTCTTCTAATCTAGCTCTTGTGTGGTTTTTTTTTTATTTTTTTGATCGGCAATTTTTTAAGGTTCAGAAATTGGAAATTCAACGCTTATTTTATCACATTGAGAGATAGAAGCAAAAAATTTCTGTTATCGTTCATAGTTAGAAAGGAGTTTTATATTATTATTATTATTATTATTATTTGCGTTGTTTTCTTTATCGGCTTTTTTATTAGTAGTATTAGTCATCGTTAGACCATAATCAGGACCAGGACCAGACGATTCCATACCGAGGACTGAGAATTATTCGGTCCTCAGTCTTTTACCGTCCGGTCCAGTCTTTATGAAGACCGATCAATCCCTAGTTATTACGCGAAAATACGGTAATTATTTTTTGATTATTCGTATTAATTGAGTATAAAGAACATTTATTAATCTAAATAAGCTATTTTTGTATATAGCCACTAAATGTTTAAAAATGACAAATTAAACCGATTCCATCTCATCTCCTCCTTTTTCTATCTTTCTTTTTCATTTTTATTTCAACTAGACCATTATCAAAAACCTTTTTTCAACATACGCAGTCACGTCAATACTGGTTTTTTTTTTTAAAAAAAAACAAATAAATAAAATAAATTTTATAATTGTTAAACAAATATAGTAAAAAAAATTACATACAGATCTGGAAGGTCAATGTAGTAACAAAATCTTCCTTTTATATTTTCTTCAATTATTTCCCCGTTAGCATTATTTAGTTGATTAAATTGCCCAAGAATAAAAACACGGTTTTCATTTTCATCTATTTCAACATAAAACTCGGTTTTTGATTTTATTGTTGGAAGAGGTAAAGTGATGAAAAAATATTCACTAGATAAAAGAAATTAATATTAGTTTATGCTTAAAAAATTTTTTTTAAAAAAATATTTACTTTGAATGGCTTATGTTATATAATAATGCAGGTAAAGTTGGCGCGGTCGGTGTAGAAACTGAAGTTGAAGTTGACTAAATATATATATTTAATATACAGTATATAAATATAAATCAATAAATCTTAAAAAAAACTACTAATAAATAAACAGTTACCGTATTTCTTGGAGGTGAAATTTTTATTTTTTTGTCCGATGTAATATTATGTGGGCGGGTACCCAATAATTGAAGAAACATATTTGCTTTTTCGACTGTAGCGAATTGAAAATGCCCCCAACTAATTTTTTTTTTAAAAAAAATTAGTAATAATATAAAATTTATATAAAATTTATATAATTTTTTAATACTTTGATTTAAATCTTCTTTTAATACATAAAATTCCAGCATCACCATTTTCACCATGCGATTGAGCCCATTCCATAAGTTCTTGATTACTGATATCAGTTATTTCGGTATAGTCGGTTCCGCTAAAAAAAACATCCATAACTAAATATAGAAAAATTTAGTAATATCTTTATATCATGTCGTATTATATCATATCGTGTCATATTTATATTATACCTTTCACGTTTATGTTAAAGAAAAGTTCGTGTCTTTGCAAAGCGAAAGTTTGTTTTGATTTTCTTTCATGTCCAAAATCTATCTATATTTATAATTTATGTAAACGATGTAGATCAATTGCCTGGGTAACATATTTACAGTAGGACAGTAAATCAATTGCCCGGGTAACTTATTTTGGGAACACAATGCTTCACTAATAACTAGGGAAAGTCATGGGCATGCCATAGGCATGCCTAATACTCAAATAGTCAATAGGGCATGCCATTTATATGTTATTTTGAAATATTCTGAGAATATATAGATTACGAGACAGGGACGATGATTTTCTGCGGTGATAAATAGTCAATTCCGTCCGTGATAAAATAAATTTCTGCGTAATTCTGCGCTCCAAATTTATGAATTCTGTATTACAGCTAATTTCAAAATTCATGGACCACCCTAAAAATTTCAGGCAGACTTTCGTGTGATTGGCAGTTTAAATCAATTTAATTTTACATTATTTATACAGTTTAAAGTACTTTTTAAAAAAAAGAAAACTACG